AGCCGACCTGATACGACTAGAGATCAATAGACAGGAAATAAGTAGACGCCCACACATCAAGATACTGGGGGTCACCTTCGAGGAGACGGCCCGCACCACGAGGTGGATACCCGAGCTACAGAAGTGGTGGGCACAAGGTCTCAAGCTCATCCGAAAGATCACGAGTAAGTCCTGGGGCGCTGACGAGAAAACCCTCAGGATCCTAACGGAGGCAGTACTCACACCCAAAGCATTGTACAGCTGCAACTAGCTCAATTTGACCAGACAACACTGGAAGAAACTTGAAAAGTTGAACTACCAATTGATGAGGGCAGTCACAGGCCTTCCAAAATACACAGCTATAGAATACCTGAGGAAAGAAGCCCAGATGAACACTATCGAAGAGCGTGCCGAGGTTCAGAACATTGCCCAATTTCAACGGCTCAAGAGAACAGAGCACGGACGCAAGCTCCTAGCAATTCTACCGGGTGAAACAAGGAGACGGTAGGCTCTTTAAATCGACCGGAAAATTCGGTTTCTTAACCTATCGCGCTACGACTTTGTGCAGCGTTGCCCACAGATGGTGCATTTTTTTCGTAAAATTTGCAAAGAGCGAACTTACCTGAGGAAAAAGTAAAGAAAGAAAAAGGCTTAGCTCCTATGGAAACGCAGCGACGCCACCGGTCTGCAATCAACACGGCGCCGTTTCGCACGGTAGACAAGAGATGGCGCAAGCGGTCGCGACGCCAACTGCTGCCAACGAACGAGCAGACGACGCCGAGAACCGGCGTTTTTAGCAGACAAGGAACTGCAGTTGCTTGTTGTTACCGCGCCTGTTTTTGTTTCTGCAACTGTCGCCGTTTGCGGAACGCGCGCCGCTTTTGATTCGAAAAGATCGTCTGCTAAAAACGCTGGCTCTCGGCGCCGTATGCTCATTCGTTGGCGGCGTTCGTTGCGCCATCTCTTGTCTACCGTGCAAAACGGCGCCGTGTTGATTGCAGACCGGTGGCGTCGCTGCGTTTCCATAGGAGCTAAGCCTTTTTCTTTCTTTACTTTTTCCTCAGGTAAGTTCGCTCTTTGCAAATTTTACAAAAAAAAATGCACCATCTGTGGGCGACGCTGCACAAAGTCGTAGCGCGATAGGTTAAGAAACCGAATTTTCCGGTCAATTTAAAGAGCCTACCGTCTCCTTGTTTCACCCGGTAGAATACGACATGCGAGACAGGCCCCCGCTAGAGAAACCGCAGCCTCCATGGCAAGATAACACCATCCCCGACCACAAACCCATGCCGAAGACTCTCAACCAAGGGAAGCGGGCTCGAGCGGCCAGGCTACACGCAAGCTGGTGCAAAACGCACGCGACAGAAGATGAGTTGCGGTACACGGACGCCGCCAAGACAGAGGACGCCACGACTACGTCGTGGTACGATCCTCGAAGGAATGAAGAGAGCACCGAAATACTTTCCGAAGGGGCTTCTATCAGAGAGGCGGAACTGAGGGCTATCTTGGCGGCGGTGAAAGACGTGCTCAAGAAACTGACCCAGCCAGGCAAGGCACGACTTTTTACGGACTCGCAAGAATCAATACGTGCGTGCCGATGCAGCAGAACAAAGAGTCGCACGGTAAAGCAAATAAAGAAAGTGGCAGTGGAGCTCCGCACAAGGGGCACCATACTTACAATCGAGTGGCTACCCGGACACAGTGGCATACCCGGGAACGAGAGGGCACACCGAGCCGCAGCGAAGACAGCCTGTAGTACTCACTCCGCACCAGGCTCAACCTCTCGGGAGAAGATGAAGGCGGGAGCAATGGACCCGGAGGAACGGGCCGAACTCGCCAAACTGGAGAGAAAGGCCTACCTCCGCAGCCAGCTTCCGCCGACAGACAGCAACATACTGGTACAATACAGTCGGTGGGAAACCGTCAGGATTCGAAGAATAAGAACGAAGACTGCACTTACACCATCCAAACTAGTATTTTTTGGCCTGAAAGAAGATATAGACCCAACCTGCACGAGCTGCTCGGAAGGAGCCGAGGCAACATTTCAGCATCTGCTCTGGGCCTGTAAGGGCCTCAAGCATCATAGGAATGATGTTCTGAACAAGATCCAGGGCGTAGACAAGTCTACGACGCTCGAGGAGTGGACCAATCCAACGGGCACTCCTCAGCATAGGAAAGCCATCCTCGACTCCTTGATACAGTATATCAGGGAGTCGGGTGTACATAGCCTCATCTAAGACGTCATTACCATCATCATGAAACCTCCCTCACCCCCTCACCCTTCACAACCCTTCCCCTCTCGTCTCAGGAGCACAACTCCATAGCGGGTGAACCCCTCATCAAATAAAAACATGTCTCTCTCTCTCTCTCTCTGCCCTCTCTGCAGTGCGGGGTGGGCTTTAGGTGGTTATGTGGTTAAGACAAAACTATAATACAAGGCACGGCGAGTTTCCTTCTCGTCGTGCCTTGCGTTGTAGCTTCCGGGTCACGTAGGGGTCGATTTCGTCTGGCCATTGACAAGGGGTACTCGGATCGTCGGCGGCGTGCGTAGATGAGTGGGCGGCCTTGCAGCACCGGCACACAATGCAAATATTTGCCTTTTGGCGCCGGTGCACCTCATGACTCCAGCAACGTGTTATGCTCGTCTTTATTCATATTTGATGTCTGCCAAAAAGATGAGCCTGTATTTGTTTTTTTTTTCTTTTGTAATCGCAACTTTTTGTCTTTGTTAGTTGTTATCTTTCAACATTTAAAGCCAGTAATAAAATATTTATTCCTGGATCACACCTGCCTGATGTCACCTCTCTAGTTTATTTTCACCCCGGACCTGTTGCGTGCAAATCAGTCCATTTTTTTATATAAAATTGGTGTGGTCTTTGCCTCTTTTTCGGACAAACTGGCGGACACTTTTTGTGGCAGGTATAGCCCAAAGTAGATCGACAGAGTACCGGCTGATCCCCCACAGAGTGAGGTGCTATTTTACTGTTTTCGTAGGACCTACGCTGTCCAATCGGGTCTTTACTTAACACAGCATGTGTTTTATCGGCCGATTTTCATGAAATGAACGACACGCTGGACCACACACACTACGTGTGTGTCTGTGAATAAGAACGTGAAAAACACATTCTGTACTTCCTCAGTGTAGGTCAGCATGAACAAGCTTACGTAAATGTTTAGCTTTTTTTTTATTCAAAACAATATTAGCGATTGCGAACATGACAAAAAAGAACACTGAAGATAAACGAAACTACATATATAATAAAGAAAAAAAACACAGGTTTTCAGATGCAAAAGACAGCCAAAACAACCATGTTGGTGAAATAATCGCAAACTATGCACGAAACCAAATTGTCGCAGGAGTTCTATGACAAATATCACGCGTGGCACGTGTGAAATTTGCGCAGGGAACTCATTGAATAGCAGAAAGACCCTTCCTTGAAATCTGTTTGTCGATCTCACACGAAGGTTTGTCCAGAAACCGAGAATCGCTGATCGGCACCTTGTAATTAAAGCCATTTTACACGCGTGTCAGTCGCGTAGCACGCGCCCAGCGCGTTTACATATCACTAGTTGTTGGCACTTCGTAAAAATGGGAATCACGATTTTTATCAAATGGCTTTAATAACAAGGTGCTGTTCAGCATTTCTCGGTTTCTAGACAGACCTTCGCGTCATCTGCAAGCAGATTTGAAGAAAGGATCTTCCTACGAGTCCCTTACGCAAAGTGATCGAACAGAAGCGTCAATTGTTATCGCTTGCAATTTTACAAAGGAAGAACCCACAACCCTCGCATGGTACGCGAACGCCAGTTCGTTTGAATGCCGAACTCAAGCTTAAGCCTAGTTCACATGCAGCGGTTTTGGCCCTAGAGCGGCGCGATTTCTGCCGTCGCGGCGCTCTGGCCAGCACCAGCAATTCAGTGGCACGAGCGCCGCGACGGCAGAAATCGCGCCGCTTTAAGCCTAGTTCACATGCAGCGGTTTTGGCCCTAGAGCGGCGCGATTTCTGCCGTCGCGGCGCTCTGGCCAGCACCAGCAATTCAGTGGCACGAGCGCCGCGACGGCAGAAATCGCGCCGCTTTAAGCTTAGTTCACATGCAGCGGTTTTGGCCCTAGAGCGGCGCGATTTCTGCCGTCGCGGCGCTCGTGCCGCAGAATTGCTGGTGCTAGCCAGAGCGCCGCGACGGCAGAAATCGCGCCGCTCTAGGGCCAAAACCGCTGCATGTGAACTAGGCTTGAGGGCCAAAATCGCTGCATGTGAAATCCGCTTTAAGCGGGTTTCACATGCAGCGATTCCGCCGCCCAAATCGCTGCCGCTAGCGGCGCGGCGGCACGAATCGCGAGGTTTCATTTCACATGAGCGTTTTCTGCCGCTGCGATGGCCAATGTTGCTTGCAGCAAGCAGATGCGCAGAGCCGGTTACAGCGGCTTCTAACAACAATTTTTATGCCTTAGTTTTCAGTTTCCCCTTTAATTTAGCCTTAATAAATCAAAGAAAAGCGTCGAAAATACTAAATAAACGTTGGTCTTATTTGTTTATGGTTCTTTTTTCAAACTTCGTTTTTGCGGAGGATGTAACCTGGGATCATCCTCAGCAGCGTCACGGGCAGCGCCTTCCTCGGATGTAAACACTCCAACTGATATGGCCGACCCGAACCTCCTGGACATAGTTGGTATTTCCGAAATTGGGGTATGTGCTCATGATCCGGAGTATGTCCGTCTACGAAGACTTGAAGAGTATCTTCTCTTAAGAAAGAAGCAGATCCTGCTTACTCTCCCGAGCCCAAGGCGCTGGTGGGTAAGGCCCATCTGGCAAAACCGCAGGAGAGAGTCGGAGTTCCATACATCGGTGAGTTGTGACCTCGTATTTTGATACCAAGGATTTTCTATTGGTATTAGTTTTCTCACAATGTAATATATTCGTGCAGATGCCTTTGCTTATAAGTGGGGACACGGAGTACTTCCAGAAGTACTATAAGATGAGACCTGAAAAATTTGAAGAGCTCCATTCCCTGATCGAAACACCACTCACAAGAGCTTACCTCACGCGGGAGCCGCTATTATCGCGGGCTAGACTTGCCATGACACTCAGGTACTGGGAACTTTCCTGCTTTTCTATTTAGCTCTGATTTATGCACAGACATATGATTTACTGTTCCACCCGCTTTCTTTAAGGTACTTATCGTCTGGAATGCAGATACAGGACATTGCTCTGGCCTTTAGAGTCGGAATCTCGACAGCGGCGGGTGTCATTCACTCCACCTGCAAGATTCTCTGGACAGCTCTCCAACCCCTTTGTCTAAAGGTATGTTGAAAGGCTGGCTGGTCAAATTAGTGATAGAAAATGCTTTGCTTAAGATTAAATTTTGCGCACCTCTTCTATTACCAGTAATTTGTGAGGTGCTTTTAGAGAAATACTGACACTGCTGGGGATTCTAGTATTGAATACGTTTTAAATCGGGAAATAAGCATACTGATTAAGATGATGCGTCCACGGTGACCGTTCAATGTAGATCCGAGAGCTCAGCTCGCGCACTGCCGTCCGAGCCCCGCTTCTTTTTGCCTGACAATACCTGCGTATACAAGCCGCCACAGTTCGTCAGCGGGTTTCACATGCAGCGATTTTGGCTCTAGAGCGGCGCGATTTCTGCCGTCGCGGCGCTCTGGCCAGCCGCAGCGGCTGAGCGGCACGGTTCCACCTGGTTGGAAATTCTTCGCCGCGGCAGAGCGGCAGCTCTCGCCTTGGCCACTCACAGCGAGGCGTTAAGTCACGTGCCAGGAGGAGAAACATTGCGGGAAAGCTGGCGCACAGGACGGTGGCGTTTTCACGTTCTTGAAGCAGACGACCAGCAGAGAAAGTACGCAAGCGACTGGTTTGCGATATCTCTTTTACGGCGGGTCGCGCTTCTTTGCTTCAGCAGTGGCGTCGGAACTGTTCAGTAGATCATTGAGGAGAGGGATTGCTGTCCCCTTCCTCGGAATTTGTTTTCTCAATGAATTACGCGACTCTTTTTTGCTTTCCTCGCCCGAGTACCGACTGTAGCGAGCGCAAGAGACGCTACTTGGTAGCGGGTTGTACGTGCGCTAGTGAGAAAAACAAAAGAAGAAGAACTGAGCGACATTGACATGTTTTTTTCCAACAAAGATCGTTGCACCAAGTAAGACGAAACATGTTGCGCCCAGTTCAATGAACTGCTTATCAGTGAACTGTCCAAGCGTCGGGTTTTTTAGGACGCGCAGCTCAAAGAATTTAGGAACAATGGGATCAAAGGGAAACCCTGGGAAGAGGTGGCTGAGGCCTCGAAAGTGATCGACAAGACCGGTATGAAACGACTGCACTACTACCGGTTCGCGAGGTTCGGGTCGGTCATATCAGTTGAAGTATGGTGCCTGGATCGCGTCTTTGACTGGTGTGTTTACCGCGGCCAAAAAAGTGGTCCCTCGATTTCCGCCTGATGACGTCATAAAAGTGTTCTGCTGTCGCCGGTTGCGACCCTGGTGGCGTCCCAACAGTTATGGTGTATGTAGCAGATGCCTGTTCTGCTGCAGGTCGCTTTCCACTGTGACAGTTCACGGAAGCTAGTGCAGCCGGAAGTTGGGACGCCTAACGGGACGCCGTGACGACAGCGACACTCGCGTTCGCTCCTGGTTTTCGCCAGCATTTCTACGGCCAACCGCCAGGATCGCGACAGGCAACAGCATGACACTCGCGTCATTTGTTGCCACATCGGGACCACTTTTGATGTATGGGCGGGATAGGACGCTAAACACACCAGTCGAAGACGCGCTCCAGGCACCATAGTTGAAGTCTACATCCGAGAAAGGCGCTGCCCATGACGCAGCCGAGGATGATTCGACGTTTGATCCTCCGCGACAACGAAGTTCGAAAGAAAACAAGAACCATAAACAAATAGGATCAAGGTTTATTTAATATTTTAAACGCTTTTTTTATTTTATTAAGGTGAAATTAAAGGGTAAAATGAAAACTAAGGCATTAAAATTATTGGAAGCCGCTGTAACCTACTGTGAGCATCTGCTTGCTGCAAGCAACATTGGCCATCGCAACCGCAGGAAACGCTCATGTGAAGTGAAACCTCGCGATCCGTGCCGCCACGCCGCTAGCGGCAACGATTTCGGCCACGAAATCCCTTCATGTGAAACCCGCGTAGATTAATGGTGCTATATCAATGAAGGCCATCTTGCACAAAGTTGAGCACTTATTATGAAGTTCTGGAGTTGAGTATTGTAATGTAGTATACAGATCATGAAAACCTTAAAACGGTTAAGGGATTAACCAATGTTTACTTATGTATCTGTGCTTACATATATTATATACCATCGAAAATTGTAGTTTATGAAACTGATTTCAGAATTTCCATGCAGTCGCGTTTGAAATATTTAGAAGGCTCTATTACATGTCTGCTGCTATGACACAATGTCATCACAGGTGCCAACTACTGAGAGATGGCAGGAAGTTGCTGAGGGCTTCCAGAACAAGTGGAATTTCCCCCACTGTGTTGGTGCTGTGGATGGCAAACACATCGAGATTCAGGCACCACCGAATTCTGGTAGCTTATACTACAACTATAAGGTGCAGTTTGCGTCAGTACTTTTTATGAGCTGTATTTCTCACTGCATTTATGATTTGTTGTCATTACAGGGTACATACTCTATCGTACTAATGGCTGTTGTGGACAGTGACTTGAAGTTCGTTGCTGTAGACGTCGGTGCCTACGGACGACAGAGTGATGGAGGTACCCTAAGTGCCTCTCAGTTCGGTAAATGTCTCGAAAATGGCCTCCTCGGCCTGCCACCACCAAAGCGGCTTCCAAACTCGACAGTAATCGCACCATATGTGTTCTTGGGGGACGAAGCGTTCCACCTACGCCCCGACTTTTTGAGACCATACCCGGGAAAGCACCAGGACGATGACAAACGAATATTCAACTATCGGCTCAGCCGTGCAAGGTGACTTAAAAGCGCAATAACCATGTAGTGAATTGGAGAGGTTGGGCGGGTAGTTTCAAGCAGGGTAGCAAATAGTTTAATTGTTGTTGTTTTTGGTCTGTTTTGTTGCGGGATAATTGTAAAGAATCATTTCCGTGAACCTGTCTCCACTTGTGCAGGAGGTGCGCCGAAAATGCTTTTGGCGTGTTGGCATCAAGGTTTCGGATATTCCGAAGAACCATCAACTTGCTACCAGAACACGCAGACTACGTCGTCATGGCAACTTGCGCACTACACAACTACTTGCGGGACGACTCCGTCTACATTCCTCCTAGCTACGTTGACAAAGAGGACGCCTATGGCAACATCACGAACGGCAACTGGCGATCGACATTCAAAGACAACGAAACAGTTATGACGGACCTGGAGCCTCCGGTGGGGCACAATTACAGCGGTTCCGCACGTGAAGCGAGGGACCTCTTCTGCTCCTACTTTATGAGCAGGCAAGGGGCCGTACCTTGGCAGCGGACCTCTGCTGGGCTACGTCCTTGAACGGAAGCGCACCTTGTGCTGCGAGCACTTGGAAACTTTTGCATACATTGCATGGTAGACACCATCCAGACGAATAAACAAGCAAAAGGTGTGACTCATCTGTCTTTACTCGCTCTTTACAAGAAGTGCGTCAGGGTATCGGCCTTGAGCATACTGAGATAGAATATGTAGAAGTTCCATCTTAAGGTGAGTCTGCATAGACTCGGGTGTCGCCTTCAAGTATGGATCTAGGGAGAGCAGGAAGTGGACAGTAGCATCCATAGGCTTGTGTGCTGCCAGGGCCCCTCTCACAACGTTGAGTTCGTCTTCCACTGCTTCCAAGTCCTGCTTCCGTTTTTGGCTTTTTGCGTGTGTCCTAGTCGCTACGCTTTCTCTTGGGCAGCTTCCCGGCTCGGCTGCTTGGGAAGGACCAGCAGCAGAGGTCTCGGCGTAGCCCGGTGACGCAAAAATCAGATTCAGACTGCTTGAGGCGTCCGGCCCCCTTGGGCTCCCTTGAGGCGTCGGACTGTCTGCTGCCGGTTGACTCATGTGTGCCACCGTTAAATCGGTGGCCTCCATGTTGCTGAAGCTTCTAAAAAGAATGTAAATTATTAAATGGGCGGTGCAACAATTTTTCTACTTCGCGCAAATACCACTCAGAACGGAACACTGACGTTACTGACATATATGAAACACGCGTTCGTCTTTCAACCCACGTAATAGAAGTTCCAGAAAAACATTAAAAAAAAACGAGCAGCGTTCACCCCGTCAACTCGCAGCCAGAACAAGCGGCCATGTGATCTGGAGCCGATTATATGCCGCCAATGTTGATCATAGCCACGCGCTGGGGTTGGCAAAGCATAGGACACGCGCTGAGTTCCAGACATTGCTATGGCTCGGCTATTGTCGTCGTCGCAGCGATTGGTCACGGGCCACTACCCGAATGCTTCTCGAGCTAGTAATTATTACAAGCCCAAATCGAGTGCCCACGCAATACTCGGGTCCAATCTATGAACCGCATTCAAATATCGTCATTTGGGGCGTACTGCGATCCCCACGGTACGTCATCAAAATTCGCAAAGGAAAGATTGAATGAAAATGATCGCTTTTGTCCCTGAAATTACACCGCAACAAAAGAGTTTCTTAGCCAGTGGCGTTGCGAGTATCCTTGAGTCCCACTAGTGCCAGTAAGCTCGTGCAAAGTGAAAAACATTCCAATTGAATATCGTTGCACCGCTCCTTTAAGCACTTCTGCTCACACCTATCAATTAATATTGATATTTTCCAACACTTACTTGCGCAAACCAAATGTGTCCCTCAGGAACTGCATTTGGTCCATGTAGGGCCAAACCTTAGATTTTGAGGAAGCTGCAGCCCCACTCTTTTTTGTCCCCTTCTCGTCATTCATTTTTTTTTCGGAAAGTGTCCCTCAGGTTCTTCAATCGGGAGTGGACCTCATCCACTGTCACTGAAATGTCAAGTCGTATACAGCGTGATGCATGTTGATTAAAAGGCTGATGATGCTGGACATTTAGATTAACATAGCGCGCATTGCGCATGTTGCCGTCTTCGAGAGCGCTCGTAATACAGTCGACTCAAAAGGGATAAATGACTGTCCTACAGTCGGTGATCCGCATCGAACACAAGCTTTTTGGCTTTGATAACAGTAGAGAGTTTTATCAAACGCTTAACACAATACCGATACGATGCCGGTACAGTCCGGGTGCGCTTAAAAGCATGCTACAAAGTAGTAGCGCAAGCTCCGCTGTACCGGGCTATCGTTTACGATCTGCTAAAACTCTCTAATGTCGTACGCGCCACCAGAGCCCTGCGACAGGCAACGAGCGGGGGCGGGAAGCGCAGCATTGAACGCTTCTAAATTTGGGGTCAACTTTCTGTGCCATTTCGAAGAGCGCGCTTCCATAGATTTCGCCGGTGCTCAATGTTCCGAGATTCACGCGCACCCACACATTTGATTTCATAGCGTTGGAATCTTGTCCCCAAGTATAGGAAAGCAGAAACATCGAGTTACAACGACCGAAAGTACGAAGGCAAGCTGGTTAGCTTAGTCTTAGGTAATGTCAAGTGCTTGGTCACAAGCCATGGGCATTGCTGTTCTTGGTCTACTACGACTGCTGGGAACACCCTGTGCAATTGTTCAGATATCACTATAAGCCACTTTGCAATATTTATTTTAAAAATCAAGACCCCTCACCAGATACGTCCGAATTACTCGGATATTGGGGGGCAGGGGGGAGGGGGGGGGGGGGGCAAACAGAGTTATTTTTTGCCCCGTCCAAGTACGTATTCCTTACATTAAAATTTAGAAATATCTAGGGGGGCGCGAGGAAGGGGAAGGGGGGCCGTCGCCTCCCTCTGTTCTGATACCATGCACTGCCTTTGACGTTTGCTGAATAATTCACATGGTTAAACAGTGTAAAAACGTTGAAACCCGTAGTAGTGCAGTGGTTTCATACCGGTCTTGTCGATCACTTTCACGGCTTCAGTCACCTCTTCGCAGAGTGTCTCTTTCGTCCCAGTGTTCCTAAATGCTTTGAGCTGCGCGTCCCAAAGAAGCCGACGCTTGGACACTTCACTTATCAGGAGTTCATTGAACTGGGCGCGATACATTTTCCTACTTGTTGGGCGATCTGTGTTCGAGAAGACACGAAATGTCGCTCAGTTCTTCTTCTTTTATTTTCCCACTAGCGCTCGCACGAGCCGCTTCCGATTAGCGTCTCTTGCGCTCGCTACAGTCGGTACTCAGGTGAGGAAAGCAAAAAGAGCCGCGTAATTCATTGAGAAAACAAATTCTGAGGAACGGCACAGCCATCCCCCTCCTCCATAATCTCCTGAACAGTTCCGACTCGACTGCTGAGGCAAAGAAGCTCGACCCACCCGAAAAAAAAAAACCGCAAACCAGTCGCTGCGTGCTTTCTCTGCTTGTCCTCTGCTTCAAGAACGTGAAACAGTGGCTCTTTCTTTCGTGTGTATGAAAGCTTTAGAGTGCTTGGTTTGAGGGTGCGGTGTTTCCTTGTCAGTTGTGAAGGTGAAACTGCCGCCGTCCTATCTGCCAGCTTTCCCGCAATGCTTCTCCTCCTGTCACGTGATTTCCCGCCGCGCTGTGAGTGGCCAGAAGCTGCCGCTCTGCCGCGGCGAAAAATTTCCAACCTGGTGGAACCGCGCCGCTCAACCGCTGCGGCTGGCCAGAGCGCCGCGACGGCAGAAATCGCGCCGCTCTAGTGCCAAAATCGCTGCATGTGAAACCCGCTTTACATCCCCCGGCGAAAAACATTCACTTGGGAAAAGGACATCCGCCGCCCCTCCCCCGCAGCGAATTTTGAAGACGACGACATAATTGACGCATTTTTCGTATTTTCGGTTCCCACGTTGCTGTGACCACCGTTACGTCTTTCACGAGCCGCGTTTGATTGGCTGTCCGTCCCCTTCGCAAGAGCGGCCGTTCGCAAGGAACGTTTGGCAAAATACAGAGTTGCGAATTAGTCGAATTCGCACCGCAACTGCGTTGTGCCGTAAGAACGGCGTCGCAATTGCGAAATCGCAGGAAAATTCGCACCATGTGAATCAGGCATAAGACGTCAGGAGAGGATTTCCCATCGACAGAAATAACGGTAATGTGAGATCTTCATTTTCGACAGTGTTGGCAGTGTTGATTTCAAAGCGCGATGATTTCAAGCTTCCACCGTAATAAAACAAAGACCATCGAAATTGTTCGCAAGGTGGTTACGTCCCGAAAGGGAACAATAGGAGGGCGCAACAAAAATATCTCGCCGCTAACAGGAGGCTCTGACCTGTTAGCGGTTAGCCGCCAGATTGAGCCTCTATAGCCGACCTTCTCTTGCCTTATTAATATGCCAAACCACTGAAGCGGGCGTTGACGAGGCTCCACAAAGGCCCATGCTGAGGAAATGGACACAGTAGCACTTAAATGGACAATAATCTTTCCAGCTGTGGTAATGACGAAGTGGAGCGAACGGAATAAGAGGAAACAAAAACTGAAGGTCGGTTATGACGGCGCCCATGCACAGTTGCCTGAAAGCGTCCATAAAAAGTTGGCATCAGGTCACGAGCCCCGACAAGAAAAGAACGAAGAAGCTCGCTTTTTTACCGCCCGCACCGTCACTGCTGTCACGTTCGCACGCGCTTATCATTCCATTCGACGACCACTGGATTTGAGGGTCGGCACTCCGGTTCGTTCCGCATTGACTTCGAATTTATTTCGCTGATATCCAGTTTCATGCTTGATTTCACCATCCTTTTGCAGATATCAGTGTTGGCAAATGTGTATCGTGACTCGCGTTCTTGGTACACGCTTTTAATCCGAGATTTTATCTTACAGCTTCCTCGTCTGCTCACTTCACGACGCCTCCGAGCTGAAACATGGGTAAGCACACACTGCATTTGGAGCATCGCCAAATTCAGTTGCATAAATTGTGTTAGCTTCACATCAATCGTTCGAGATTCAACCCAAGTAACAGCGCAGCCGAGGCTACGAGTCGATGGGGTGAAAAACAAAGAACTTCGAAAGTGCAGCGTCACAATATTTAATATATTACCTCGTGTCCGCAATACTCGGCTAAACCAAGCAACCGCAGTGAAAGCAGATTGACCCGGTGCTTTCAGCATCCGTCCCCGCATTTTTACGTCACTCGGCCTTTGATCACGTTTTTAATTATGGCGCCATAAAGCATTATACGTTTCATTAGTCATTCAAGATTAAATGAAAATCAGGCTCTTAATTCACTGAATGTCAGTCTTGTTTGGCTATTGGAAGTTTCTCATTTAAAGACAGAAAACAATTATCATGTATTCAAAACCTACACGGTTACTATAGCTTGGTTAGTTGGCAAACGTATCCGGATAAAAGTACAGCTAAAACTATATTCTGGTAGTAGGAAACAGAACGTGCAATCAGCTTAATTAAGCCGGTGTGGGACTAGAAGAAGAGAAGAAAAAACCGCAGTGAACGACCCGAAGCGAAAGGAGCTGCAATAACGGAAAAACTAACATTTTGGTGTCAGTGGCGGGACAATACAGCAGGATCGGAGTCAGGATGCACCCCAAACTACAGGAAACCAAACCTAGTGATCCTAGTCCTTCTCTCAAGGACACCGACGACGCTGGAGTTCCAATTACCTGCGCTCAAGCACAGCTGCAACCCGTGACGTCTGGACAAGAGGATCTCCAACGAAGAATCATCGTACTGAAGGGAAGGGGAGGCCCGGAAAATCAGACCGACTCGGCAACGGCACCCACATGTTCGAAACTCCTTCGTCTGAAACTAACCTCTTTCGATGGTAGCGAGCCACTCTACCTTTACCTCGTGCAAGTTATCATCGTTGCCTTAGCAAACAAATTTTTGGAGGACGAAACCCAGCTAACGCTCTCGCCATGCCACTGCGGGGACCAGCCATTGCGGTACTGGTCCAAAAATTAATGCAGAAATCTTACCTACCAAGCATGCGTTTGTACCGACACTCAAAGTTCGCTTTGGCGACAGGCATCTGCAAGAAGCTCATTATGGCGAACTGCGCTGCCGTCAACAACAGCCGGAGGAAACGCTACAAGCCCTGGCAACAGAAATCGAGTGCCTCTCCCCGAAAGCGTTTGCGAGAGTTACTGCGAACCCTTTGCACCTTCTGAGCACTATTGCCTTCGTCGATGATATGCAGACGTTGAAGTTCAAAGGTTTATTCAAGTTTGAGTACAGAAGACTGTTCGAGAGGATCTGCCAAATGCGTAAAGATGTCAACAATCCAAAAAGCTACAGCAGATGCCCAAGCTTCTCGTCCAGCATTGTTACAGCCCACTACTCACCTGAGCAAGCCCGGATCACGTTGGGGACATAAATGTTACATACGAGTTAACCTTATACTCCGTTTCACCTTATATTGTACCGCAGCGAAGGCGAGAAGCGCGAGCTCATAGCGTTGGGAGCTGCCCTTGGTGCACGAGAGCTTGTGCCGCCGAGATGTGCCATAGAGCAAGGAGCTCGCGCTTGTAGCCTTTCCTGCGGTACAACACAAGTTGAAACAGTATAGCAGGCGATGTTTACGATGCGGACGACAAGTGGGCTTGACAACGGACGGAGGATCGCGAATAGCAAACCAAAGCCTCCTCGTGTCTCTTTCAAGTCATTTTACAAATTTTCCAACTACACAAGTCAAGATTCACAGGGTTGGGATGCAAGAAATCCTTCTTGACACCGGGTCAGCGGTCAAAATAATCGACGCAAGGCTTGTACCGGCTTACTGTAATGCTTTCCAGGAAGAACCTCGTCTTTTCACAACCGACGGCTTTAACGTTTCTACCGGAGGACAAGTGAAGTTGGCAGTCCTGCATTTGGTGACACGTCATTAGTGCACGTCATCATTTTGTAGGATTACGTACATTCAATCCTTTGACGTAATGAGTGGTGCCAAAAAAACCGGACATTTGAGGTTAAACCCCGAACAATACAAAGCCGAGAAAACTCCGCGCACGCCTGTGGAAAAATCAGCTGCCAGAATTTTGCCATCGAAAACTGTCTTCGAGTGGGTTCAGTACCTAATTCGCTAAAGTTTCTTCGTCACCGTAAAAAAAAGGAACCTACTTCAACAATATTTCCTCAATATAGCAACGTCGGATGCACTCAAGTACAAATGTTCGATGACTTGTACTTGAGTGCATCCATTGTAAATTGTAGATACATTGTAACCATATCTGCCGAGCCTGCTTGACGGGTACGACTGACGACAAATAATAATGGAGTTAACAGTGTACCAGCCATGCACAAGTTACTAAAGAAGTAATTAAGTTACTGAAGATTGGCCTCAAAAATAATTTGGGTAGAGTAGAAGTTACTCAAAAGGAAAGAAATTCAGTACTAAGTACCGTAACAAAGTAGCAAATTACTTTTCAGCTTACTTCTATATTTTTTTTTGTAGTCAGAAGAAAGAACACAAATGTTTTAATTAGTTAGAAAAAATCTGATAGGCAAACAGAAAGCGGCTTGTGTTTTCATATAAATACTTTAGTGGTGATTAATTGTTTTCTACATTTTGTTTCCGCCCAATGATGTGCTGCGAATGTATCATTTCTACTTTGAGGTTTAGCACTGCATGAACTTGTTTTTGCAGACACTGTTTGCTCAATTACAGTCGCGTAAAGTAAATTTAAAAGGTACTTAAAGTACAGTACAAAGTCAATTAGAGGTTATGTACTTCAAGCATCATAAGTACACCGGGTGCAATCTACTTTCAGTAAAGTACTAAAAATACAACATACATTTAAAGTAAAGATACTCTTTAACAGAAACTGTCATAACGTCCTCTCATACCGCATTTTTCTTACGTTATTTTATCTGGTATGGTCCAGAAGAAATCGGATAACCAACAGATTTTTGTTTTTTTTGCTACGACAGCAAATATTGCTTAAAGTTCGGGAAAACCGGTAACCAGCTGGAACCGGTTGCTTTGCGCCTCTCCGCGTCTGTGGCGGCTTTAGCGGACACGTGTTGTCGGCGCGGTGGCGAACAATGCAATTTGACGAAGGTTCGAATATTTCTTAAGTTTGCCTCAGTAATCATTGGTGTGGCGAAGCCACACTAGTTTGTTTCCTTCCATCAGGTGTTTGAAAGCCCGCTTGCTCCACAACACACGGTCGCTAGCTTTCATGTTCTTGCTGGGGAGTAATCAGGGAAAAACGTTTTGATATCTTTTCGGTCTCGAATCACATTCAAAGTGAGGAGTGATAGGTTCTTTTTATAGGGATGTAGAACAGTGGACGGAGGATGACAGACAAGGTGTTCCACTGAAGGGAACACCAATGTTGCAGTCAAGTGAATGGGGAGGTTCCATAGCTGCTTTTCTTGAGTTTTGTTGTTTTCAATTGGCTTCTTCTGTATTAAGCCACCCACGCCGGTCGGTGTGTTGGCTATTCATCTTTGCTGCTTTTCGCCGAAAAAGCCTCTTGAACACACCGAAGGAGTTCGGTTGATTTCGCAGTCACTTGATTCTGAAAAACCTGCTCGCTGCATACGATTAATGAGAGAAATTGTCTGCTTTCAAAAAATGGGCGACACGTCTCGCAAAGTTAGAAGCTGTCCCGACATTATTATCTATCGCGCCTCCAATATTTATGTTGTATCCCATCGAAGCCAGCAGCAATATACGTCTACATTGCTGAGGCTGTGGGCCCCAAAGAAAAGATACTCAATTTCTCCGTTCAGTATTCGAAGTGAAGTTCAATGCCAGAGGGGTTCTGCGTGAATCTCCGATGAAGACTCTCTTCAGTCTGTCCGCATTCGCCTCCGCGCTGCTGGCTAGAACAATTTGGTTAAGTTTAAGTAGTATCTCTCTGTCTGTAAAATATACTTTTATTCAGCAGTCCACCTAATACCTAGTCAACTAAGCTCATATTTCAACCTAAAGAATATACTAATATTGCTTTTCATAGAACGTAGTAGGCAATGTAATACATAAACCATATATTCGTCAGAATGACTTCTCGATAGATACTAAGACCTGAATTCAAGTACGACTATCAGTTGCTTAGTGGGGCGCCAGTGGATTAACATGCTCTTTGGCTCAAGGAGCGCTTGCATAATTTTCGTAATTTTACTGCAGCATGTGTTGTCGGCCGAGCAGACGACTGGAGCTGTTTCTTAAAGGGCCTGTGACACGCCAAAATATTTTTTTTTCATCTTAGTCGTTGAATTACAAATTGTTTACATTACAAACAATTACAAAAAAAAATTGCACCACCAAAAAAATTGTTTCACTATAGAGTTGAGAAGTTTTTTTTATAAAAAATAGAAACACAAGTTCCAATTCAAACTTCCCGCCAGTGCACTGTGACGTAACAGTGTACCGCAAGATGTCGGGGCGGTCAGACGGGAGGCATCGCCGGAAGTCACGTGAGTTGTATTCTTCCTCGTGCTTACCGCGAGCGCATGTAATATTTCTTCAAATATTTTTCTTATTCTCCGCTCCTCCAGAAGCAATCCCAGCAGACGTTTCTTTTATTTGCTATTCATCGTTAAATGTTGTTGTAAAGATAGAAGAGGAGGAGTCAGTGAATTGCGTGATCATCTACAATGCCTAGCAGGGGCTGTGTGAGGGACTGTCTCGGTATTTCAGCAACTGAAGAGATTACATTGCATGCATTACCGAGAGACATACAAGAGATGGACCGGTGGCTGACTGCGGTTTCCGCAGGACAGCTATTAGAATCCGTCAGTATTCGATGGATATGCTCGATGTACATTATGATGAAGATTACAACCCTAGGCGAAGTTTACTTATGGTGTATTCACACTACGAAGATTCGCTGACGAGCTACCCACGGAGAAGCGTTTACGTCATCAGAATTTGAGGTCACGTGTTCCGCCTGACGCGCTGCTGTCGGGGGCTGACAGAATCTTCCTGGGCCCCTCGCAAAGAGTGAGGATAAAGATGGCGACCAGCGACCGTGCTGCGGACGCCGTACTTTCCGAGGGGGCTTTCCACATGTTTTTTCTTATAATGGAAGAGCACAAGTGCTTGTGGAGAATCGATCATGAAGGCTATAAGAACGTGGCGAAGAAAGGCCGCATCTGGAACGATATCTGCAAGCGACCGCAGGAAAGATTTCCCAACCTGGACGTCCTGAGAACAGGTACGAAGAATAGAGCCATGTGTTAAAGCTCGTTTTTGCATGAACATCATTGCTTTCCCTCTGAATGCGCAGTGCCTTTGAATTAAAAGGTATCGGGCGTGCAAAATGGGAATAGTCAATTGGTTCGAGACTGCTCGATCGTTCGTAGCAGACTGCTATTGCTCCAGTCATCAGTGTGCGCGCGGCGCTTTTGGTGGTATTGCTCAAACGTTAGTAGCCCACCGCGCGAGTGTCCGGAGCGGTTCGCTCCCGTACGGTGACTCTGCTATCGTTGACGTTTGTTGTTATCGAGGTGCGAGCGACGCAGGAATAAAGTATAGCCCTTATTTTCAAAATCCTCGCAGCCGTACGAGAGCGAGCCCGCTCCGTCCGCGCTCGCGCGGTCTGCCGAATTTTGACAATGGCTACGCCCATTAGATCCTGGATTTTATGTAAAAGACAAAACATTTGTAGCGCAAATATATCTTACCAATTTGCACGCTAAGTACCTTGGGAGTCACCCATTCATGTCGACAGTGCTACTCTTTCTGCATGACTGAACATAAATTGTAGTCAATCATCAGTCACATCCCGAAAACATGAATATTGTGCAGCAGAGTCGAGTTTGTTGTCAAATTATCTCCGTCTAGTAAAGCTATAAAGTTCCTTGTAATATCAAGAATTGTCTGCTGCAACAGGTTCTGAAAAAAAAAAAAAAACACCAATGTGTCGGAAGAGAGTCTCTTTCCATATCGTGGCTTCTTTTTTCAAGACACGGCCACAAATACCACGCTTGACTCAGGCGGTGGGGTCCTGCTCTCCCTGGAAAAGAGACGCCAAGGGGAAGAGTGCAAAGGGGACACGCCCGACCGCAAACGTAAACAAGCCATAAAACACACACGCACGCACGCACGCACGCACGCACGCACGCACGCACACACACTCAGAGAAATAATAAACACAATGAGGACAAGAACATGTGTTAAATAGAAGCCTGTACCCCTGCCCTTTTGACTATTGAACGAAAGTTGTTCCCAGTGGAAATAAGTGTTTTTGCTGAACGAAACTTCTGCCAGCCAGAGAGAACAGTTGCAACAATGTCATTAACATTTCTGGCTTACTGTACCTGTTTGTTTTTCCATCTTTCAGATGAAATAAAGAGGCGCTTCAATAACAAGAGACGGCAAAATATGGATGAAAAGAAAAAAAAAAAACCTTCGTCAAAAGTGGACAAGCTGCCCCCACTTATGTGGGAAAATGCAAGTTTTTTGGGGCACTTTCCTTTCTGAACCAGTAGTACCTAAAGCCCCTTGATAAAGACCGTTTTTACAAGTACCGCCAACCGTTGTTGTGGAAACGCGCGAGACACGTGCCGCGAGCGCGTGCTCCGCCGCCATTCGCTTCCAAAGGCCGCTCATTTCAGTGCTGTACCGCCATTTGCTTCCAGGGGCCTCTCGAGACATGGGCCTCGTGCGCTCGCACATTTGACGCTACTTGCAAGACACGTAAACACATCGGGGGGCTTTAGTAGTACCCACCACCACCCAAAAAGCCCGTACTGGGAGTGCAAGTGGTATATACACCTCTCATATGCAAACATTTCATTGCAATGTCTGCTCTAGATTTAGGTGAACTCGTCGATAGCTGATTAGTTGAAGGGGCCCATTGGTTTTCTTTTAAAACCCAAATTGAATCTGTGTCTCCATTAATGTATTGTAAATTCGCCGGACGGAACACTTTATGGCAGGGCGTTAGACAGCCAAATTTATTTCCATGCAGTGTGCCTGCGTTTTGGTTATCCAAGTTCCCAGAAATATAGAGTCTGTACAAATTGAAATGAGAACAGCGGGTGCATAATTTCCGACAACCTTTAGGAAAATATATGAAAATTACCCCTACTAAAACACAAAAATAAGTGTGATGTCTTACTCGTGTTGTCGTATATCTGTCCCCCCAATTGTGTAGTGATCGGAGATACAGTTTTCTGAAACACCGAGCTTGGCTACGACGGAAACTGTCCCCTCTCCTCAGTAAGGTTTTTAGACTAGCCTTTACTGACACCTACGAGCCTTGCCTGAAAGGTGTCTCTGAAATTATCTCGGCATACTGAATTAGTGAGAAGGCTAATGCATTACAAGCGTATGGTTATTAGTAGAGTCCTGCATATGGCGGATTGTGGATCGGATGTTACTATCCACTGGTCCAGATATATATTTTTTTTCCTAGGCGGTCCATAAGTATGTGCGACTTTTAGCCTTCGACGGCTTGGCGGAATACCGTGTTCTATATCTTGGCACATATTGTTGATTGGCTAGGAGATATGCTGATATGCTTATAGCTGGCAGTAATTGCTTTTGCTATGTCCAGGAGCCTCCCGTGGAAGAGGTGGAATTCTGTCCGGAAGACGAGGCTCCAGTTGACAGCCCGCTTCAGTCGGTTTACGTCGAGGAGGAGACAGAGCCAGATGCACATCCAGAGACACAGCGAGAGCCAGAGCCACAGCTGCCGAAGAAACAGCCAAAGAAAAAACAAACGGAGACAGTTGTGAAGGAAGGTTGGCCGCCCTGAACAATATAGCTACCGCCTTGTCATCATCCACGGAGGATGATGAGTGCGCCATCGTTTTGAGGCTTATCGCTAGCCGGCTAAGACGGCAACCATCTGAAAGGCACAGCTGGTTCCAGGTACACATGCTTGATTATGCCACCACTCTGGAGAGCTCACACATGGAGTCCAGCGAACAACCCAAAAAAATGTAGTATATATAGCATGAACTTCAAAATGGTGGATACTTGGGCTAGTTGGTGGTTGCTATACATAATTAAACAGCGCACAAGGAGAGGGACAGAAAAGGAAGACAGAACAGGCAAGCGCTGACTCGCAACTGACGATTTACTATGAAAAAAAGAAGGAAGAAAACTACACACATGAACATATATCGGAAAAGAGAAAGATGAGAAAAAGCTAATAAATTAAATAAAATTACACCTAAAATAATTATAGCTGAAAAGGAAAACAAAATAAAATGAAAATCAATCTCTCAAAGTCCTAGGCATGTCCAGTGCCGGCACTCCGAAGCCTTGACCATACACCTATTAGTGCGCAGCTGCCCCCATAAACTCATACTCGATGTCTTGTAGTGTTAATGATGGCTGGCTCACACATTTGGATTCGAGCTTTCTTATCCAAAAGGCTTCCACTATTTCTCTTGTTGTTTTTTCTTTATGGGAAGCTAGAACAGTTGTTGCACAAAAATCTGGATCATATCCACAGGTTCTGCAGTGGATGGCTAGGTGGCTTCCAGTGGTGGTTTGAAGAGACTGTTTATGTTCCCTCAAGCGGTCGTTGAGGCAACGCCCAGTCTGTCCGACATAGGTTTTCCCGCAGGACAGAGGAAGATGGTAAACCACTTGTAGAATGCAAGACACAAAGTGCACCTTGTGGTTTTTCATGCAGCAAGCCCTGCTGTCATTGTTCTTGTCCACAAGCGTGCAAATTCTACCCAGTTTGTTTGGGGCTGAAAACACCATGGGCACGTTGTATCTATTGGCAACATTTTTTAAGTTGTGCGACGTCCTGTGGATGTATGGTATAACTAGTGGTCGGATATTGGTAAGGTCTTTGCTCTTTTTTCTTTTGGTCGATCCTTTACAGGTTTGTATCAAAGTGCCCGCAACTTCACTTAACATGGCTGATGGAAAGCCGGATCTTGAGAGTTTGTTTACTTGAGTGCTGAAACTCTGTTCGATGGTGTGGTGACAGGATTTTTTCAAAGCTGAACACATGCACGAACTGGCTATCCCTCTTTTTATTAATTTTGAATGGGCAGATTGGTAATTAAGAATTTCTTTTTTGGAGCGTGGTAGGTAGGACCAACAAATGTGGTGATCTGAGATTTTTATAGATAGGTCCAGGAACTGCAGCACATTTAGAATAGGTTGTTCATACGTAAAACTCAGACCTTTACCGCTTCTGGAGAAAACACTCAGGATTGTATCTATTAAGTCTTCTGTTTGTTCTTCTCGGAGGATAATGAGAAAGTCATCAACGTACCTGAAGACTTTTATAATAGACATAGTGCTCAAAAGCAGTGCGAGGATCATGTCTACGCCTCCCAGAAAGATGTCGCTTAAGATGGGAGCAACACATGACCCAATGCACACTCCAGACCGCTGTAGGTATGAAGAATCTTGCCATTTTACAAACAAGGCTTTCAGATAAAAGTCTAGTAGCTCCATGAAGCTTTCCGTTGAAGTACCACTCGAATTCTGAAACTTGATTTCTCCTGATGTTCAATAGTTGATTTGACTGAAGCCAGGAGAGCATCCTGTGGAATGGAGTAATACAGGTCCACCACGTCTACGCTGAAGGCTCCTTTCTTCTGATTGGTGTCACTCTTCAAAAAAACATCGGGCCTCTATCCTCCTCTCACATGTAAATATGCCCCTTTCAGTAACATTTGTCATCTGGTCAACCTCGCGGCCCAGTGCATGTTTAGTGCCAGAGTGGCCTCCTGGCACATCAAGAAGGGCCTCTGTCCAGTGGAACTCCATGGATTGTGCGGTATGCTACAACCGTCAGCAGGCCATGCAAGAAGACTGTGTCGGATTCTTCGCTCCGAGTACTGGCGGCAAGAAAGGTATTTCAAGGAATGCCTTAGAGTGGCTTGTGCTGCTCGTGGAGGCACCGAGAACCAACAACGAAGGCTGTTCTACAACATGAGCAATTCGGAGAGACAAGTTGCTGAATTTCTCTGGCGGGGGATTCTTCCCCAACTGCTCTGCAAAAAGAGAAACTTGACTGCCGTCAAAGGGACAACAACCATCTTGGGCGGCGTTAGTATTCCTTCTCCTGTAAGGAAGACTTTAGACCTAGGCCCTAAATTTTCCGTGGAACCCACCTTACAGCCACCTGCTTTACTAACCTTGGCAAGGAAGGTAGCCTTCAAAGTTCCAGAAGCAGATCGTCCCCGATGCATCTCAGAATGTGTGAACGTCATCACAAGCTCCATCAAGAAAGGA